TAGTTTTGTTGCTAAACGACACAGGCGAACGGAACGTTACCAAAAGACAATTGGCTTTTATAAATATTAGAATATGTATTATTTGTCTTACATTTTTACCTAGTGTTTTTCCTTGCAACATATTTGTATACTTTTTTAATTGTATTTATATATTTTCTTTTGTGATTGTATATCCTGTATTAAATATTTCAAATTTTAAGGAACAAAGAATACATTTTAGGAATTGTAAACTGAATGTGTGTTTTTTATAATTATTGCTTTAGTAAGCACTTAGCTACTCGTTGCAAATTTCAAGACCTTTATTTAAACTATACTTCATAAAGTAAAACGCCTCTTTTCTTTGTCAGTCCTTCATCTAGCATTATGTTGATTTGTTAGATAAAAGTTTGAGAAGAGTGTGAAAAAACGATTAGACTTTTTAGCATAATAACTGTTGTAAAAAAGCTTCAAAGGCGAATGTTCTGTTTCAGTGTAGTTTATAGTTTGAAAGGAATGATTAAGTTTGTTTAGTATTAAGTACAAAGCCACACAATGGGTTCTCTGTGCTCTGCCCTTAGACTTACTCTTGCTCCTCCGGGAGGACCAAATGATTAAGTACAGCATCACGCAGTAAATCTAAAAGTCAACGAAATAAGACCATATACGCCACGACGGATAAACGGTAGGCTTATGGAATTACAACTACAAAATCAGAGGCTCAAATCCATAGTACAGATAGCCAAATATGTAGCTTTGCGCTGAAACAAAACAAACAGAATCGTATACTCGATAAAATGAGATACAAAGTATGAAATGTTTCCTGCAATTTCTCGTGTACGATATTCCTGAAGGCACCACTATCATCTGTAAATAATATGGTAGGCTTACAAGATGAATATTTCAACTATTCTGAGGATTGATGAGCTCAGTGGAACATGAAATAATATTTACAAAACCTGCGAAGTACTTGTCTCCAGGCAACATATCTAATAAACATGAAGGCTACAGTTGTTTTCTAAAAAACTTGTTTGTGTGTTTTGGATATTTGCGCAAAGCTATACCACGATATTTCTGCTAGTCGCCTTTAATTTGAAACTGTGATAGATTAGATGGAAAGTAGCTAATCCGCAGCACCAACCGCCTACTCTTAGTCTACTAACGCATCCACGACACAAAGCGTGGATCGCGATTCTTCTTCTTCTATAACATTTCCCATAGTGTTCTGAAAACACATGTCAGCAACCACGTATTTATAATGTCCTGGTTAATAGCCTAGGTCTGATTATTAATTATTTACTATTTTGTTACTAGATATTAATTACCAACACGATAAGTGGGTAGCACAAACACACCAGCCTTTCTAACAATACCACCTACAACAAAAAAGAAAACTAGGATCGAATCCAGGCCGCTGCCATCACAAACAGTCGTCTCAGGATCTTCTTCAAGATGATAATAGATTAGCGACCGGTTGAAACGTAAGATATAGATTAATTAGTAATTAGCGTGAAGTAATAATAAACAACAACTAATTAATATTAACTTCTGATCAAGACAGACTACCTACTTAGAGTGAAACTAAAAAAGAATCAAACTGGTAATGAGTATAGCTAATTAGATATATTTTTCTTACGTTCTTATTTATAAAGATTATAACGCATTGGTTCGTCAGTTGAGTATTCTCGCTGTTAACAATATTTTCGGCCGTAATCCCAATAACACCTCATGATAGAAGATCCAGCTTAGGAGATTTAGATTAGTTCTAAATACTTATATTAAGTTAGCAAAGCAAAATAATCTCTGTAATAAAAGTGTAATAATAATAATAAAGAATAAAATTAGAAATATTTTAACAGTCTAACCAAAACTGTTAATGAAAGTAACAATACATAAAAAACATATCATATCTTACTTAGGGAACATATAAACAATAATTAGGCTTAGTATATATTTGTATATATAGTAAGAAATATGTCTTAAAGTAGCCAATCCATTAAAGTTTCAGATTTAAAAATGAGGGGTTAATGGAAGAGTCAGTAACCGAAGACAAAAATAAAAAGATAATTAGTTGTTATGTACTGAACAAATAAACATTACATTACAGGTTTCTATAATTCAGGAACAAAGTTTGGGTACGGGATCTTACATTCGAACCTCACAAACACGTCAATAACATTTGGGCTATCAGCTAATGGGAATTGTTTTCGTATACTATTGTAATATTTTCAACAAAAAGTTTTGTTTATCACGAAATCTATGACTCTTAGCAGAATATTTTCCATTTTTTATTATTTTGAAAATCCCAAACTTCTTTCATTGAACATAGCCCGATAGTCAACCAACGTTCTGTTTGTTATGTTTTATATGACACATGCCAGTTTACTATAGTCAACCAACGTTCTGTTTGTTATGTTTTATATGACACATGCCAGTTTACTATAGTCAACCAACGTTCTGTTTGTTATGTTTTATCTGACACATGCCAGTTTACTATAGTCAACCAACGTTCTGTTTGTTATGTTTTATCTGACACATGCCAGTTTGCTGTAGTCAACCAACGTTCAGTTTGTTCTGTTTTATCTGACATATGCCACTTTGCTATAGTCAACCAACGTTCAGTTTGTTCTGTTTATTTGAAGATTAAACTTGCACAATTAAATGTTACTGTTGTTATAAACATAACCACCTCAACAGTTTTAATTGTTCACAAGGTTTAGTCGGAACAGGAATGTATAATATCTACGAAGAACATAATGTTTGTCATTAACTGGAGCGAGTCGGGAACAGATAGTAGGTTGTGAGTATGATTTCATTTCTTCAAACAGTGTTGGAAAGAAATTATCTGTCGACAGGAAAATCGATAGTTTGACCAATAATCGCAAAACCGAATAAATGGTTCATTAAGTTATGTTAGACAGATATCCATTCTAGCGAAACCACAGCGAAGGGAATCAGCAGTAAAAGTAAGAGAACACGTTGCAGGATATTAATCTTGAAATATATTATCAAAATTAATAAATTATGAAGCGAAAATGCAAAACAGTACCAAATCTCTCTCCTTGTATATATATACTTGTATCGACATATGTCCATATGTATATATATATATATATATATTCAGCTATAGTTTTATTTTTAATTGCACATACTACAAAGATCAAGACCGCTGTAGAGGTAATACCATTTTTCTTTCAGGTAATGTTGATAACATGTAAGCCTCAAATTACGACAGACTGATATCCAAAACTAGATTTATAATCAGATATCAATAGTTAAACTGAAATTTACTATAGGCTGTAGAGAATCATGATGAACCTACCAGCTTTTATGTATACCCACTCTTTTTTTTTTCTAGTACGTTTCTCTTTAGAGCGACTAAAAATTAGGCGTACACCGAAAGAGCTAGAGAACTGCCTTTACCAACGAAAGTTGTACGTTACGTCAGGTGTATAATTTAGTTTCACATAGCCACACCAGCAACGATATTTATCTGCTTCAATACACTTACGTAAGTTCTTTACTGCATTTCGAACGTTAAGATCTATTTGCTCATGCTCAATTGGAAGAAATATACGCTCCACCGTGTTGTGATAGTCTACTTCGGCGCGGGATTGCTTAAGGCTACCATGATTTCCTTCTGCCTTTCATCTTCGATTGGTTAAGAAAGACATCACGTGCCATCGCTTCTCAATTGGTTTCTCAGACCGAGGGTATCAAAACGAGAGAGTACTCTGCGTCCACGGACAGGAAGAAAACTCTCCAGTTGTCTTGAATTATATGCTGAACATCAACCATAAATGCGGTTGTGTACTGTAGATGTGAGAAGCTGAAGCATGTACAACTAAATATGTTCTAAGTTTAAGCAGTTGAATAATTCTGTTTTTTTTTTGTTTTCTCGGTATAACGCGTAAAATATTGCGTTTTGTCGTGAAGAGTGCTTTTTTCACAATATGATGAACTTCCGATAGAAATCTCTTCTATATATATATATATACTTATATAAAAGAAAGTTTGATATCATCTATTCAAGATCTTATGGGTTAAAATATGTTATGAACTTTGTTAATTATATCAAAATCTTTTAGCCAGTAACGCAATAATAATAATAAAAATAAGAACAAAGAATTGTCTAGTTACTGCAGCGTTAAAAACTCATCAAGATGCACTAAGATACACACGTCTCCACAGTTCGTTTTTATCAACTCTCCTTCGTTATCAGTAGCTATGTATGGATTGATTTTGGAGAACTTTAGCCGATACATCTGTAAGGAGTACGGAGAAGAAAAATGGGAAGAAATACGGAAATTGGCAAAAGTGGAACAAAATAACTTCACGACCCATCAAGTATACCCGGATTGCTATGTCTCAAGGCTTACAGCTAGAGCTTGTCAGGTAATAATTGTACTTGTCATGTGATGGCTTACAGATCGAGCTTGTAAGGTAATAATTGTACTTGTGATGTGATGGCTTACAGCTCGAGCTTGTCAGGCGATAATTGTACTTGTGATGTGATGACTTACAGTTCGAGCTTTTCTGGTAATAATTGTACTTGTGATGTGACAGCTTACAGATCGAACTTGTAAAGTAATAATTGTACTTGTGATGTTATGGCTTACAGATACAGCTTGTCGGGTAGTAATTGTACTTGTGATGTGATGGCTTACAGATCGAGTTAGTCAGATAGTAATTGTACTTGTGATGTGATGGCTTACAGATCGAGCTTGTCAGGTAGTAATTGTACTTGTGATGTGATGGCTTACAGCTAGAACTAGTCAGGTAATAATTGTACCTGTGATGTGATGGCTTACAGCTCGAGCTTGTCAGGTAATAACTGTACTTGTGATGTGATGGCTTACAGCTAGAGCTTGTCAGGTAATAATTGTAATTGTGATGTGATGGCTTACAACTAGAACTTGTCAGGTAATAATTGTACTTGTCATGTGAAGGCTTACAACTAGAGCTTGTCAGGTAATAATTGTACTTGTGATGTGATGGCTTACAGCCAGAGCTTGTCAGGTAATAATTGTACCTGTGATGTGATGGCTTACAGCTCGAGCTTGTCAGGCGATAATTGTACTTGTCGATGTGATGGCTTACAGCTCGAGTTTGTCAGGTAATAATTGTACCTGTGATGTGATGTCGTATACAAGTGTTAGTAAAGAACTGAGAAAAAATAAATAAATTTGATTTCTTGTAACAGTTACTAAACCGTTTTAATGAAGTGATTAGTTGGTGCTACCCTTGGTACTTCCATTGTTTCTTTTTGTTTTTTTGGTGAGTGAAAAATAGATTTAGTTTTTATCCGTTTCAGGGCGAGTAGGCTATTCATCACACCTCGGATCCCAATATTTAAATGTTACGCTATTAAAGCTGAAACGAACTTAATTCTTGAAACTTTGTTGGGTCGACACAAGAAAATTTTGAAATATATTTTTTTAATCGAATACGTTTGATAGTTAATTTTAACAATAATTCAACTGAAAATTGAATAAAAGGGTGTGAGGATCTATAAGTGGACAGCTCCTATCAACTGATATTTGAATGAAAGGGTTTGATGATCTGTAAGTGGACAGCTCCTCTCAATGATATTTGAATGAAAGGGTGTGAGGATCTGTAAGTTGACAGCTCCTATCAATTGATACTTGAATAAAAGGGTGTGAGGATCTGTATGTCGATAGCTTCTATCAACTGATATTTGAATAAAAGGGTATGAGGATTTGTAAGTGAGTAGCTCCTATCAACTGATAGTTGAATAAAAGGGTATGGGGATCTGTATGTCGATAGCTCCTATCAACTGATATTTGAATAAAAGGGTATGAGGATTTGTATGTGGATAGCTCCTATCAACTGATAGTTGAATGAAAGGGTGTGAGGATCTTGTATGTGGATAGCTCCTATCAAATGATATTTGAATGAAAGGGTGTGAGGATTTGTATGTGGATAGCTCCTATCAAATGATATTTGAATGAAAGGGTGTGAGGATTTGTATGTGGATAGCTCCTATCAAATGATATTTGAATAAAAGGGTTTGATGATCAGCGGTAGGTTTGATGACTTATAACTATAGAAATCGGGCTTCGATACCCGCAGTGAGCACAGCACAGATAGCCCATTGTGTAGCTTCGTGCTTAAAACAAACAAATAAACAATCAAAAGCGATTACACATGAACTTCTGTTAATTTGTGCGATATGTTTATTTAATAAGCTACAAGGAACTACCGTATCTTATACAGTTATCCGATTTAAATAATAAGATATGAAATAAACAACACAGTTTTCTTTAATTCCTTTTAAAACTGGAAAAATCATCAACTTTACAAACTTTACAATTTCAAGATACACGTCGTTCAATTGCTTGTTTTTCACCGCAAAGACACGTAATAGGCTATTTCGCCTTCTCGTCACCACTAGGAATCGAACGCCGGATCTTAGCATTATAGTTCAGTAAACTTACCTCTGATCCACTGTACGATCTTTGTTTAATAGACCATACTTATTACTAACGTTTTCATTATAAAAAATTGCGTCTATCCTTTATTAGGAGATTTTTACAATATTGGAATGTTGATTATTTTTATTATTGCAGCCAGTTATAAAATTTGGGAAACTTTTCTGACCATAGCCATCCCTAGTGGCTCGTCGGTAAGTCTTTGGACTTACGACGCTAAAGGTAGGGTTTCGATACCCGTGATGTGCACAAATAGCCCATTGTAAAGCTTTGTGTTTAACAACAAATAAAATTTCTTGACATCCTCATAAAGTGAAATTTTTACAATCGTACTAAATTTTCTTTACACTAGGTCCACTTGTAAGTTGAATATATATTATAATTAGCCGTAGTACTTAACGAAATATATAGTTACATATGATGAACTTGTATATCAACAAAAATGGTGGTGTTTACGTGTGATGGTATCCTATTTCGACAAAAACGGGGGTAATTACATGCCATTGTGTACTTGTCAGAGGTTTTAACAAAACGTTTTCGTTGAAGCAATCTTAGCTAAGCACGATCCAGTGTTGTGAGATTTAAACGTATATTCAATTTAGATATATGCATTTTTACAAGGTAATTCCTTTAACTTTCTATAAACAGAGATAATCCAGCGATGTAAAATACCTGTACAAAACTTTTACGTATTAACTAGTTATTGTGGGCATAGAATATCATCACATGTAATTACTCCCAGTTTTGTGGATATAGAATATTATCACATGTAATTACTCTCAGTTTTGTGGATATAGAATATCATCACATGTAATTACTCCCAGTTTTGTGGATATAGAATATTATCACATGTAATTACTCTCAGTTTTGTGGATATAGAATATCATCACATGTAATTACTCCCATTTTTGTCGATATAGAATATCATCACATGTAATTACTCCCAGTTTTGTCGACATAGAATATCATCACAATTAATTACTCCCAGTTTTGTGAATATAGAATATGATCACATGTAATTACTCCCATTTTTGTCGACATAGAATATCAACACATGTAATTACTCCCAGTTTTGTCGACATAGAATAACATCACATGTAATTACGCCCATTTTTGTCGATATAGAATATCATCACATGTAATTACTCCCAGTTTTGTGGATATAGAATATCATCACATGTAATTACTCCTAGTTTTGTGGATACAGAATATCATCACATGTAATTACTCCCATTTTTGTCGACATAGAATATCATCACTTGTAATTACTCCCAGTTTTGTGGATACAGAATATGATCACATGTAATTACTCCAAGTTTTGT